TTGGATAAATTCGCATATGAAAACACCAAATCAATGATTTTTTTCAGTGGCTGTGTGACTGTGTCTGACACATTCATATGCAAATGACTAATCTGTGAAACAAACAGGGGCGGAGACAAACCACTCAAATGTTTGGAAACACTCATTGTGTGTCAGATAGCTACTGATAACACATCCTAACATTGCTTTGTCTTGAGTTTATCTTTGAAACTTATAGGCACACAGATTAAACCTATGTTGTTGATTTTGGAAAACACTACTGAGGCTGCCTTGCTTCCCTTCAGAAAATCTACATTTTAACCAACTTACATGACATTCTATGTTATATTGACTTTATCATATGAAAGTTTATGGTGCATTTCATCAATTAATAAATAAATGTGAAAATCGTAATTTTCAACACAAATAATAGTCTTGCTACCTTAATTATTATTTTGCTAATACCCAATTGTGCTTTGAAGCGCAGTAAAAATTCAAATTTAATAGGATTTAACTTTCACTTTCAGGATTTGAGTTTCAAATCTAAATAATATGTCCGCAATATCAGATTTAATAAAACTCAACTTTTCCTGTAAATGTTCCTTCTTCATTGGTACTTGCATTGTATAATACTATAGTAGCATTACTTGTGACATGATTATTCTGTTTTGGACACACATGTATAATAAATATGTACTTATTGCTCTGTCAAGATGTATAATGCTACAGTCCCATAGTCTTTGTCTAGTTATATCAGTAGGAGGATTTGAAAAAAGAAACCAAACACCAAGACAGGACACTGAGTAACTGGTCAGGACTTCACTGCATGATCCGTCTGAAGAAAAGATACGCTTCCAAGTATCCCGGATGCGACTATGCACCACATCTTGTTTTGCATAAATGAACGCGAACAATTCGTAATTGGAAAATTGTTTGAGAAAGTGAAATGTATGTGTCGATCTATTCGGTATAAAATGTATTAGTTTCAAATAATACATGGTGCATTCCGTGTCTGTGATTTTAGGTAGATATAATAAACCTGTACTTACTACACTATGGAGTGTATAGCCTGGATGTGTTCAGTCATTTATGTTGTGTGCAAGACATTATATAAACTGACTAAGTCACCACATTTACCTTCTTGGAGGCATACATTCATCGGGAAATGGCCACAAACAGTTGTCCCTGAATCTACATTCTATTTAAGCGCGATTAAGTCTACGTTTTGTCAATATTAGGAGATAATAACTCACCTTTGAAACTGTCCAAGACGTCACAGATGTCGCTATTATCACCAGGTACGTCAAGCGAAAGAATCCAAATACTAAAGCCGCCAGAATATGCTTACCGTTCTGTATGCGGTCCGTGTGTCGTCTAAGTAAACAAGTAGCCAGTGTTGACTGCATCGATGTGTTGATGACTTCCGACGTGCTTACATCAACTCACGTCTTTTGACACCTTTCTTCTTGACCCGCCGGTTATCCCATAATAGTCTCTCCAAGATTCTGGTATTGTGTAAGTATTAGTCATTTATATCCACGCCTATTTTGACCTTTGGCATTTATTTAAAGGATACCAGTATTCACGTGACCAGTATTCTGTTGACGACACGCGGTGTAATTGTACATAGTGGTATATTCAGTGTATATATCAACACGTGGCATTTACACCATAAACAAATATGCTGACCCCCCCCCCCCCCAATACTATACGTAATGTTGTTATTCGAAGTGAGGGGCATTTATATGTATTGTGGTTATTGGAGATAAAATGTCACGTGTCCCACCCGATTGATAAGAAATGGTCTCTACACGTGTCTTGTCAGTCATACATATTCCATTCATAGCTGTACTATGCGTATTATCACTGACGGCAGCAATGATCAAAAGCATCGGGAAATAATGTTGAACTTCCAGCTGTGTTTTCTCCTGAAACTGTTCAAGACCAAGCCTTGGGCCACTTATCATTAAATAGAAACACTTGAATATTGAAAGACGCTTCTATAATAATTATGTGCTACAAAAACTGTGTGCGTATGCGCTGTTAGTCAACAGTTGTATGCCAAGTGGACGAGGAATGTCCTGGTGTATCTCTCTCCTGTCCGGGTGTACCTCAGTTAATTCTAATCATTCGAGCGGCAAGAATACCTGAAACCGAACACTATAAATGTTAGCGCCCCATGATTGTTTTAACTTCTATAGGTTTTACGATTTCAAAAATCGAACAATTCGATAATTACAGATTGTAAACAGGTATTACCGTATTATTTCATAAGGCTAAAAACAATTTTCTGTTTTTTTATTATTTTGGACGTTCTTTCATTTTTGAAATATTTTGGAAGAACCCATATAACAACGTCCTTGTATGGCGAACATTTTTCATACGCTGATTAGATTTTTTTTTGAAATCTGAAATGACATGCATCAATACCTCGTATGTCATAAATAAAAATAATAACATAGAGGGCTAATCAGTACTGCATCGTTCACTTACCGTACTGTATATATTACATGCATTTCACTGTGGACTGTGGAAAAGTATAACTTTGGAAAATATAGACCGAGTAATTTACTTTTTATCACAGTTGGGATATAGTGGAAGGCACTAGAAGTACAGCTATGCCTCGATAGAGGGCGCGCGTCCATAAGAACTGCCCAGGGACGCGTTTATCTTGTACAATCACGATCGTGATTAACCACTCATGATCACGTGAGGCACCATGTATGGAATAGATATTCTTTCTACAAACAAATTATGTAAATTCAATTCATACATATAATTGATTCACTGTGATAGCATATTTCAAATTTCAATTTATTCTGAATGTCACCGTTATCTTATTATAATTCGCCAAGCTCATATCACGATACTACGATTCCGACTCATAGCATAAAACTAGTGTAACAAATATGCAATGATTGTGACGCAGCAGATTTATTTCAGTATTAGACGATAACAATAAGTTAGTTAACAAATGAACAAATTATTAATGTCTTCAGTATATGGCTAAGTTGATGAAAAAGTAACCATTTTTATACATATATACACTGTTTTTGAATACATATGGGTGCCCCACTCGAATACTGAGGGTTGGCTCGAAAATCCTCTGAAACAAAAACAGTTATAATGTAAACGGAGTGCGAAAAAAACTTTACTACAAAATTGTCGCCCGGTAATGTGAATAAAATAACCCCCCCCCCCCTCCCGATTTCAAATAGAAAATCCTTATTACAAACAAAATGCTAGGTCAAACCATCAATTGAATCCTACTCGTTGTCTGAAATGCGTAGTCATGGTGAATGTCGAATGTTTTTAAGTACTGTTATTCGGTTTAAGTTCTTACATGTAGCTATCATAAGGCTTTAAAATATTCAAGATTTGTTGGTTCCATAATCGTGTTCATTGATTCAGTTTTGCAAAAAAATACGTAACTTTTCACTACCACACCTTACCAAAATGTACTCATGAAAAAATACTACTTGTTCGTCTTGTTTTTTGGTTATTTCTACAGATTCACTTTTTCGGTAACATAGGAGGTCAAATATAACTTGACCCCCTTGCACACGTTGGTTCTTAAATCCAGCTTCGCATATGCTGTTAACGATGTGTATGTACAGTTTGTATTTGTCGATGATGGACAAGGATGTTTTGTATCACCGAGAGTATCATCCCTTATATCCAAGACAACAGTCTCTTCTCCATTAAGTGCATTGCCATTAGCAACACCAGACAATACAATCATCTCCTGTAGCTTTTTACCAATTTCTACTAAGAAGTTTTTCTCGTCTCTAATTCTGGATTTGCAGTCTATCATGGGACATGCTGGACATTTACTTCCCTGATGGTCATGGAAAGCAATCGGCACAAAGCGATGAGCTAATATGACGCCATTCTGCATCAAATCTTGTAAGGCAACATCCTCGGTGGGAAAGGGTCGAGGAATCTTCTCTGGGCAGCCACAGTCTTTCATTTGATCTGGGGCAGATTTGCCACACATCCGGGATGAGACTCTAGCTCCAATTTGAAGATCAGCGGAGAATATACTGTAACCCCATGTTTGCAGAGATTTCTTAAATCCGTGCCTGATCAAATTGCTACTTGATTTATCAGTGATGATGTGATGCAAATGGTCCTGACAGTTACTACAAATATCTCTTTCACTGTGTATTTCAATCATGATAGCATGTACTTCGAATTTAGAGGGTGTTATTTTAAACTGCCTCAGTAACTCTGCTGGCAAGTCTGGATTCACACGTAGCATTTCCAGTAACCACTGTTCTGAGTGGTAGAAACTCTTCAACTGATCCCCATTTATCATGAAGAAGGATAAACCAGAGTCACTAAAACGTCCAGCGTAGCATTTAGCCTTCACGATATCTGAAGATTCTTTGAACTCACTTCTGGGAAGTTGTCTAATGTAGTCTTTGATTGCCTTCTTCGTGCACCAGGTGTCGTCTGTCAACAATATTTTATAGTTATCTGGTTGACCATTAACGTTACTTCCGTCTTCGTCTTCTGACTGTTCTTCCTCGATAATAATCTGTTCTTCGGTGTCTTCTTCTGATAGGTCGTCAACCTCCTCCACTCTCTCTTCTTCACCTTCAGCTAGAGCTTTCTTGGCATTCTTTCTAATTTTCGCAATTCGGTTAGCAAGAGCCCTCTCACGTCCAATGAAGTATAATTCTTTATCACCAGCAATGTCTTGAATCTCAATGTGTTCCTGTTTACCGTAAAACACTGCTTCCTTGCAGTTTTCTGCCAGCACTGGTTCTGATTTTACTGTCAAACGAACACTTCCATCTGGAATATCTTTTGCTACAATAGGCGCACACAAATATGCCAATTGGGTGTCACCATCCTCATTTTTCCTCCCCACCACTACACCGAGGGCAGCAGTGCTTAAGCTCCCCTCTGACCTCTCTTTCTTGTCAAGAACATCGTCCAGTTTATAGCGAGCTTTTATACAAGCTTCTTGGAGAACTTCGTGAATGTGTCGTTTAGATGACACTCTTCTGTCTCCTTTCATGTAAGTGTACTTGGCAAGGTATGTGTCCAAAGAACAGTCGTCTGCGCGATAATAAAGACCTTCTAAATTACCATTCCATATCAATATAGGTTTCTCTACTGTCACAACACGCATGTTCCTGCCAGCTTCGTGTCCGCCTGCCGGGTGTTGGGGGTTCACAGACATCAGGATATCTGACGAAATCGAAGCTTGACGCAACATATTGAATATTTTATCTGTATAATTAGGATTGTATGTGGTGATGTTTCTGTAATAAAAAAGAACAAAATTGGCTGAGTCTTCATATTGTATAACTGTATACATTGTAAACACAATTGATTTGTATAGCGCCCTCTTGTGGTGAGTATCTCAATAATCCATTTTTTAACTGTGAATAAGAATTAATTTTGAATAAAAAAAATAGTACCAGTATGAATTTATTTTGATGTTGCATGCAAATTTACATAGAACGCATGTCAAGGGTTTCTTTAACATTTTATTTCAACATTGTTGATCTAAACGTTTGCCCACGTATTCTATGATTAGAATTATTACAAAAAAACAACTAAAAAGTATGCCATTAGAAAGACTGGATGGGAATATGGTAGAAACAATATTTGTGGGCATGGTGGCATTGATTGTATTTACTTTTCTGTATCAGATGTGTGTTGGTATTTTTGCTAAATTTACCCCTCCAAAGTTTCTAATGGTCAACCCCTAAACTGCAAAAAACTGGTTTGTATACTCAGATAGATATGGTACGGTAATTCCGTGCCTGGGTCTGAGGTAAAACGTCACACATAGCCTAGGTGAAAGTTAGCCACATTAATAAACAAAATGACACTATATTATGAAAGATTTTGGCTTCTATACATGATTCCTAAAACACATAAATAAATATATATATGACAGTTCTTCTCCAGTGTCAGTGAGGATAAACGCGGTGTATTGGACGTTGGTAAAAATTTCATAATTCATATTGTATAAAATAGATTAGTGGGTGGTTTTCACGGTTCAAAGTTCGATGAATTCACTGCATACCGTACAGTAGCCCGTATATACTAATGCCAAGCAGTCAGTTGATGTACTCAGTGAGTTGCTAGGGTCGGGAGTCTGCGTGCCAAAGGTAGTTGACGACAAATATTGGACAGATCATTGGAAGATCGCGATCGATGTTGCGAAATGTACCTGTGATCGGCGGGACAATTTCAAAACGTGGATTTTTTTAGAACATTGGCTGAAAAAAAGAAAAATATGGAGTTTCCAGGAGGTACATTTTAAAACCCGACACTGTCAAATCGATAACCCTATACTATATATGTACACAGAAAGGGGCCAGTATACCCCCTCGTCGCCTCATTAATGTGTGCCCCGTACTAACGTCGTACTTCAATATTATCACATAGTACATTCCAGGCCTTTGACGTAGAG